TTCTAAACATCTTAGAGGCAACTCCATAGGTAAAATTATATTCTTCAAAAATTAAAAACAAATATTTTTTTTTTGAATGTAAGTTGAATTTCAAATTGAGAAGCTGTAACTTAATTTAACGTACATTGAATGTTACGTGCGTGGTCCGAAAAATAACTATTAACTTTAGTTATATTTTCACACGCAACAAAGACAGTGGGATAATTATATAAGTAGATAAATGTTTTAATAATAATATTAACAAGTAGGAGTAAAACTTATCTCCTCTGTCTGAGTACAACTGCTAGTCTTTTTCTTGAGTGTTCGTGAGTCCAACAATGACACACAATAGATTTTAATAATACATTAAAGCCACAGAAGCCAAAAGATAGTTATGGCACAAAAGTGAAAATAGTCACTTGGCAGATTGTAGCTTGTCAACCTACTTCGGTAGGCTATGCCTCCTAAGTTTGTCTCCTCGTAGGTTGTCCTCGTAGGTTGTACTCGGTGGTCTAAACTACTCATATATATAATGTCTAATGTGAAGTATGGTGGTTTTGTGACATACATCCCATACGCAATATAGTTTGTTACAGCAAGATATATTTAACCACAATAACAGCAAATCTGGTTTCCGTTCTAAAATATGTGTTTACGCATGTAAGCAAGCTTCTAGCGCATGCAAGCAAGCATCTAGATTATGTCCTAATTAGTAATGACATTTCAAAAAGGAATATTGAAGATCGAACATGAAAATATGGAATGTTTAATAATATAATATAATAATAGTTTATAAATGATATTACATGATAGTAGTTGCTATCATTTAACACTGGATCTGCCATTGAATTGACGTATTCGTGCTTCAAGTGGACTCGTTTGATGACATATGCATTGCTTTTATGTTATTAGTCTCTTCAATTGAAAATTAGTTTTTCTCAAAAATAATGCTTTAAAAGTTAAAAAATTCACGGAGGAAAAGTGACCGCGTTGCAATAATAATATTAGAATATTGACCTTGATCATCGTTGTGACGTCACATGGCGGCAATAAAGTTTGCATGCGGCAACAAAAAGTGGAGTTAAAATTAATTAATTTGTCGTAAACGTATGATGGTCATAATTGTATTAAATTGCTTCTGAAAGACTGGTTATTTTATTGAGCAAATAAAAAAATTCTTGCAGTAGCACTTTACATAACATCAATAACAAAGTCAAAAAATCTTATGGTATAAATTATTCTAAACTACTTTTAGCATTTAGAAGAGAATTTATAAAAGAATTCTTTGTTTATTGATCACCAAAATTTGTGAAAATTTTATGTCTAAGTGCATACTTAAAAATTAGACTTGAGAGGTGAAATACCTAAATTTCATGAGAGCGTATTGGGTAACAGCCTTATTAGCTCTGAGGTAAGAGCAGAGGTCTCGTGAACCAAAGGTCCAGAGTTCAATTCTCTGATGAGGCTACATATCTGGTGTACCTTGCAAACATGGATTCTGACTCGTGCTTTATAGGGGCACGAGCCGAGCTCTCTTGATGTCTCGAGTTGGGACAGTGGACTGTTATTCGTTAACCTTACGTTGATTCGGAAATATTTATCAACTGATCAATTTCCGCCATTTTGGTTTCTAGTTTTGAAATTTGAGCTGGTGTTTGTATAGCAACTACTGATAGTAATACAGTATTTTGAGATAATATTGTGTTTTTTTATGGATACGTGTGCAATAAATTATTGTTGACGGCTACTAAGTGTCATTACGTAAGTAGTCACGTTTGGAAAATTTTGTTTCATCGAGTCGAAATGTTTTAGGAAATTTAGCTGAAGGCATTTGCAAAAGTTCAGCAAGTCAATTAAACGCATTTGATAATCATTCACAGTCAGTTGCATAATTTTCTGTCCCGAATTAATAACATGTATATTAATTATCAATTAACCATCTCTGAATGAAAACACCGTCAAATGCCTTAGCATTATGGGCAATTGCTGTAAAACCTTTATGTTCTCTTGAAAATAAGAAGGAACGAAACTCGTTCAATGCGTTGTAACCCTTGAAAACAAATTCTGTACCCTCAAAATATTGTGCAACAGCAAAATTAACCACATGCTCTCCGGTTGAAAAATCTGTCTCAAAATCGTAAAATATTAGACTATCATTCTTGGGTTTTGGGTTTTCCTTTTGCATGAAACATAAATGATCATCAAATACAAACATATTGCATATATGACATACAGTTTCCCCACAGCGATGTTCGTTTTGTCTATCTTTGTCATCTATAGATGAACACATTTGACATCGAAACGACTTGTCACACATTGATGGCAAGTCAACCCCTTTGGACAGACGCAATTTTTTATGACGATTAAAACATGCAGTAGAGCGACAAATCTTGAAACAATCCGAACACATATGTTTTTCATCTGTAATCTCAACGCAGTTTTTTTGTCTGCACGTTTTACAGACATTATAACAATGGTGACTTAAACCATTTTTGAAGAACTGAAAGCATTTGTCACAGTAGAAACGTTCATCGTGGAAAGCCGGAAGTTTCGCAGGGTTAATAAAATTGTAATGACCACCTTGTTTGTATAAAATAAGCTTTTTATTTTGGCGGGGACCCTCAAAAATTACTGTATTTCGAGCATTAAAATCAATAACCTGAATTTGATAATCTAATAGAACCCCTTGAAACTTAGACACTTCACGGAGTCCACAAAGTCCATAGGAAATATTGGCCTTCTTGTATAATTTCAAAGCTTCTCGCTTCTGAATAGCTTTACCCTGCTTAAATTGTTTGAGTTTTGGATTCTTGTCCCCTATGGCCTTTGCAACAACACGAGCGCGAGCACAGCAGAAATTATCCTTATTTCGTATAGTAATAATTGACTTTTTAACTAGGCTGTCTTTGCTATAATCTAAGACTTTTAATGAAGTAGAATGTTTTTTACCGGACCCTGTCGGCTGACTTACAGCAACAACATCAACAGTAAACGACTGATCCAAAGGGATGTTTTCATTACTCTGCAAAACTTTCGTTATTTCGGACATCACCCGGTTTGAATCGTTTGAAATGCAGGCAAAATTTGCGTGCTTATGGGGGACTTAGTTCACTTGAGCGGATCATGATTCGCACTCTGTCTTCTAGAGGCGTGAATAAATCACACGCCTTCTTTAACTACGTGCAAAAAAAGAACCTTTTCTTGATTTAAGCTATGTGAAAGAAAAGCATGAAAATAGAGAAGTATTTTCTTATACCTGATCAATTCTATTGGCAAAAAGTTCGTTTAATTCCTTAACAATATCTTTAATCTTGTGCACCTTATCATCTCTAGGTCTTTCCATCGTAGCCCTTAAAACACACGCTAATGCACCAAACTTTTTTACGTGTTTTTCGGATATCTTCTCCATATTGGAGTGTACTGTGTCTTTGGAGATATCAGCCAAACGGTCAGCTATATTTTTCAGCAGCTTGAACTTTTGTTCTAGTAGCTTGGCAGTTTTTTCTTGCCAACGTAAAACTTTGCGTAAGTCCGATTTTGGCTTAGCCAATTCTTTCTGGATTTTTCTTTTAAGACGTTTTGCTTCGCAATTTTACGCTCAGCACGTTTCACTAGCGACGATATTCTCAATGAATATGCAGATCTCTTCGATGGCAAACTAGGATGTTTACACATTAAACATCATATCAGTGTCAATCCAAATGTAAAACCTAAAATTCATCCTCATCGGCGCGTTCCAGTAGCTATGAGAACGAAAATTAAAGAAGAGTTAGAACGAATGCAACTGATGGGTGTTATCGATCCTGTAGAAAAACCAACGGAATGGGTTTCGTCAATGGTAACAGTGGAAAAACCAAACAAGTTCCGAATATGCATTGATGCTAGACATTTTAATGAAGCCATTCAGCGAGAACATTACCCTCTCTTAACAATAGAAGAAGTCGTATCAAGACTATCTGGAGCTAAAATTTTCTCCGTATTCGATGCAGCCTTTAGAATTTGGCAGATACATCTAGATGAAGATTCCAGTTATCTTACAACATTCAATACGTCTTTTGGCAGATACAAATTCAATCGTCTCCCATTTGGTATATCCTCAGCATCTGAAGTGTTCCAAAAAGCTATGCACCAGCTGTTTGACAGAGTAGACAGTTGTGAAATTATAATGGATGATATCTTAGTATGGGGAACAACAGAGAAAGAGCATGATGAAAGAATTATCAATGTGCCGAATAGAGCTCGTGAAATCAATCTCAAATTAAAGAAAGAAAAAAAAGTTAAAGTAACAAATGTAGATTACATGGGACACAAAATAACGTCAGATGGTCTTCAATCCGATCCTGAAAAGATTAAAGCAATATTAAACATGCCAATTCCTAAAGATAAGAAAGATCTTCAAAGATTTCTTGGAATGGTTCAATATTTGGCCAAGTTTTTTAACTTATCTTTTAGAAATGGCAAGTCCCCTCAGAGATATGTTAAAGAAGGAAAATGATTGGTGCTGGTTAGATCAACATCAAATAGTGTATGACAGAATCAAGAAATCCTTTGGAGAGCATCCTGTATTGCAATTCTACGATGTATCAAAAGATGTGACATTGTCCGTAGATGCCAGTATGTCAGGTTTAGGAGCAGTTTGTCTTCAAAATGGCAAACCAGTTGCTTATGCATCGAGAGCTTTAACTGAATGCCAAAAGAAATATGCACAAATTGAAAAAGAGTTACTTGCAATTGTATTTGGATGTGAAAAATTTCATGATTACATCTATGGAAGAGATGTCAATGTTGAAACAGATCATAAGCCCTTAGAGCAGATTTTCAAGAAGCCCCTTCATCAATCTCCATTGAGACTTTAGAAAATGTTGCTGAAACTTCAAAAGTACAGTTCGAAAGTCTCGTTTAAGAAAGGAGCAGAACTTTATCTCGCGGACCAATTAAGTCGAGCGTATATCCAAGAAGAATCAGATGATCACTTAGAAGATTTTGAGATAAATGTTGTCTTGCCAGTAAGTGAAGAGAAAATGAACCAATTGAAGGAAGAGACAAAGAAAGATAAAGTAATGAAAGTGCTACGACAGGACGCAGAAAATGGATGGCCAGTTCTACGCAGTAAAGTCGATTTGGATGTTTTTAATTACTGGGACTTTAGAGAGACTCTTTCAGTACAAGATGACCTACTGTTTAAAGGAGATCGAGTAATAATTCCTGAGTCATTAAGAACTGATATGTTGAAAGCTATACATCCAAGACATTTTGGATCTGAATCATGCAAACGTAGGGCTCAAGACTGTTTATATTGGCCAAAGATGAACTTAGAAATAGAAGCAGAAGTTAGAAAGTGTGAAATCTGCGATGCCCATAAGAGTCATCAACAAAAGGAGTCTCTACAATCACATACTGTACCACATCGACCGTGGAGTAAAGTTGGAGCAGACCTCTTTGAATTGAATGGTAGAAGCTATCTTCTTATGGTAGATTACTACAGTGGATTCTTTGAAATTGATTACTTGTTAAATACAACATCAAAGACAGTTATCACAAAGATGAAATCTTAAATTGCGAGATACGGCGTTTTCGAAGATCTTATAACAGATAATGATCCACAATTCAGGAGTAAAGAATTTCGTGCATTCTCGTTACAGTATGGATTTAAACATACAACAAGTTCACCAGGATATCCAAGAAGTAACGGCATGTCAGAACGTGCTGTGCAGACAGCAAAAGCAATCATAAAGAAAGCAAAATATGATAACACCGATCCTTATTTAGGACTCCTTAATTATAGAAATACACCTAGAGATGATATTGTTGGCAGTCCAGCTCAGCGACTAATGAGACGAAGAACTAGGAAATTACTACCAATATCAGAGAAGTTACTTGAATTTCAACCATTAAACCCTGTTAATGTTTAAGAAAAATTGAAAATGTATCACAAGGAACAAAAAGAGATTTATGATCGCAATGCAAAAACACTTCCGCCATTAAAAGAAGGAGATCAAGTACGTATAAAAACAGAAAAAGGCTTCCAAAAGAAAGGAATCGTGGAAAAATCGTTACTTGAACCAAGATCTTATTTGGTTACGTCTTATGGTACCTACTATAGAAGGAATAGAAATCATTTATTAATGATTAATGAAGAATCGAGAAGTCAAAATACAGATAAGTCTTATAGTGAGAACAATAGATCTTATAAAAATTGTAATGAAAGTACTAACAACAGTAATATAATAACTCCGTATAGACGTCTAAACAAAAACCCAATAGATATTCTTATTAGATAAAAATAAGTTAAAAAACATTCATAGTGTGAAATTTTTTTATAAAAAAAAAAAAAAAAAAAAGAGATGTGACATTGCATGCCTAATTATATGTATATGCTGTAGTGACGTAGGTAATTCCTTATTTATTATGCATGAGTAATGTATATAAGAACCTAATGTGGCCTGGATGCTGGACAAGTCAATGCAGCAGACAGCCGGTCCCAAGCCCGGATAAACACAGAGGGTGGATGTCAGGAAGAGCATCCGGTCCTTAAAAGAATATGCCACATGATAATATGCCGGAGACAATCAGAAGAGAAGACAATGCTAGGGCATACCCCGTAAGCGATGCGCAGCGGCACTACTGTCTAGACGCTGTGAAAAGAATGCAAGCGAGACAGAAGAGACAGAAGAGACAGAAGAACTTGAGAGTTGCGACCCTAAACATCGGGACGCGGACTGGAAAGAGCAGAGAAATAGCAGACATGATGAAGAGGAGGAGGATCGACATACTATGCTTACAAGAGACAAGATGGACTGGTGGGAAATCAGGAGGGAAGGCAAGAAACATCGGAGAGAGCTACAAGCTGTACTACAGCGGAGGGGGAAAGCCAAAGAATGGAGTGGCTATATGTCTGAGTGAGGAATGGCAAGATAAAGTGATAGAGACCCTGAGAAAGTCAGATAGAATCATAACTATGAAACTGGTAACACCTGACAAGACGTTCAACATCGTGACTGCCTATACACCTCAGCAAGGTTGTGAAGAAGACGAGAAGCAGAGATTTTGGAACCAACTTGAAGAAGTGACCACCAATGTGAAGGAAACAGAACAGCTGATCGTGGCAGGAGATCTCAATGGGCACATCGGAAGAGAGAGAGTAGAGGGATTTGAAAGATGGCATGGAGGAAAGTCAATCGGAAGAAGAAATGAAGAAGGAGATAAGATCTTAGACTATGCAAGGAGCAAGGACCTCGCATTGGTAAACACATTCTTCACACAGAGGGATGGAAACACCTACACGTACAAAAGTGGCCTTAGCCAGACCGTGATAGATTTCATCATGATAAGGAGAGATGACCTAGGCGATGTTAAAAATTGTAAGGTTATCCCTGGTGAGGAAATTGCACTGCAGCATAGACTTGTTGTGATGGATTATAAGATCAAGAAGAGGAGAAGAATAAGAAGAGAGAGACCGAAGAAGATCAACTGGTGGAAACTACATAATGAGGAAGGAGATGAGCTGGAAAGTAAGATCACAGAAATGCTAATGGAGCAAAGCATGGTGGGAGAGTGGAAATGGAATGAAACATACCCTAATATACTAGAAGCAGCAAAGGAGACACTGGGAGTTAGTAGAGGTGGGAATTACATAGAAAAAGAATCCTGGTGGTAGAATGAAGAAGTACAAGAGGCTGTGAAGAACAAGAAAGAAGCTTTTAAGATATGGAAGAGATCTGGTTCGGAGGAAGACAGGGAGACTCTGAGAGAAATGAACAAGATCAGTAAAGAAAAGTGTGCGATTGTTAGAGAGAAAGGTCAGGAGCAACTATACAAAGATCTGGAGCAAAACGGACCGAAAAGAATCTACAAGTTAGCAAAAACTAGACAGAGAAGAGCAAAGGACATTGACAAGATTACTTTTGTAAAGGATGAGCAGGGAAAGATCGTGAGCGAAGATGAGAAAATCAAAGAGCGATGGAGGGAATATTTTGATAGACTTTTGAACACGAAGAACAACAGGAAAGAACTGGACCATCTTGAACCAGTCCATGGGCCAGTACCAGAGATTTTGGAGGATGAAGTGAGAAGACAACTCAAGAAGATGAAGAACAATAAAGCAAGAGGACCGGATGAGCTCCCCATCGAACTAGTGAAGAAATTGGGAAACACAGAAACAGAGTGGATGACATCATGCTTCAGAGAAATAATGAAGACAGGAATACCAGAAGAATGGAGAACAAGCAGATAGTGCCCCTTTACAAACAGAAAGGTGATCCCCTAAGCTGTGGAAACTATCGAGGCATTAAACACCTCTGCCACTCACTGAAATTATTTGAGAGAGTGATAGAGGCGAGACTGAGAGAAATATTGAAGATAAAGGACAACCAATATGGATTCCAACGCGGAAAATCAACCACTGAGCCGATGTTCTGTCTGCGGATGCTGCAAGAGAAGTATAGAGAATTCAACAAAGAGCTACATATGGTTTTCGTGGACCTTGAAAAGGCATATGATACAATCCCGAGGGAGCTACTATGGTACTGTCTAAGGAAGCGTCAAGTCCCGGAGGCCTATATTGAAACCATCAAAGATATGTATAAGCGCTCTACCACTAGTGTCGCAACGAACGTTGGTGAGACTGAGAAAATTCAAGTAGAGGTCGGGTTACATCAAGGCTCGGCACTAAGCACGTCCTTTAATCACCGCTATAACTTTAAACTCTCAAGGCCTCCACAATCCTTCGCAGAGATCTGTCCTTTTTTTTTTCTTTTATGTTTTTCTCCCACTATCGTATACTTGCAAGAAACACATTCCACCAGTCATGCAGAATTTGACAGATGGATCAAAATTAAGAATAACAACGATAACAACAAGCCCAAATATAAAGTCCTTTCTTCTCACGGCACGACTCGTTCACGGGGAGTTGCAGTCATTTATCATCCTTACCTTACAGTCACTCAGTATGCATCAGACTCACAAGTTCGGTTGCAATTAATCCATTTCTCCTACCTGTCTCTCCCTTTTCGACTCGTTAACATCTATGGCCCGAAACAGAAGGAACCGTGCCTCGATTTCTTTCAAGCCATTCTTCCTCTTGTCAATCTCTCTTTTTCTACAATCGCCTGCGGAGTTTTTAACGCCGTGGTAGATCCGAATATCAATCATACTGGATGTAACCCCAATTCACCTTGGGCATATAATTGGCCGCATACCTTGGCTACTCTCACCAGTGATATGGATTTAGTTAATATATGGAGACTACGTCATCCCAATTAACCCAGTTACAGTTAGTCCTGTACTGGTGGACAGAGGGGTTCACGCCTGGATATGTTTTGGATCTCATCCTCGCTGGTATCGTTCGTTCATGACATTTCAATACTACAATATTACCAGAGCGATCACTTTTACGTCTACTTTTCACCCTCTCTTTCGAATGCTCCGGAGCGTGGGAGGGGTTGCTGGAAACTTAATAATACACTAATTAATAATTACACCTATATCAATTTAATTAAATCTTTCTGGAAAGATTGGAAACATGAACAAACCTATAATCCTTCATTACCTGTGTGTGGGATGTTGGTAAGCAACTAATCTGCCAGGTGACAATTGAATTTGCAACCGACTTGGCTGCTTCGCAAAGAAATATATATCAGTCTTTGAACAGTCAATCAAATCATCTAAATACACGTCGTGGGCAGGCAAGGATGTTTCTGTGTAAATTAAGGAAATAGAAGATGAATTATATGATCATCTCATCCATAAGGCAGCTAGAGCGCGTATGCTGGTCATAGAACTTTGGTCTGAGGAAGGAGAGATATCAACCAAATACTTCTTCCAGCGCGAGAAATCACATGACGTGCGTAGCTTAGTGACAAGAATTTATGATATGCATGGACGTACAATACGATCTTTGTCAAGCATGCTTTACGTCTGAGGATGACTTTGAAATAGTCGAAAATTTACAATTCACTTCTCGTCTTGTTTTGATGCATATTTTGCAATCTCAAGATGTCTTGCTTTTTCGGAATTTGCCTCATACTATATTTCTTTAAATTGCCGGCTAGTCATGGTTTTTATGCCTTATGTGTGGATGGTATTCTACATAACGCTTTTTACTGTCGACTATTTGGATGCAGCTGAACAATCCTTTTTTCTTATCCAAATAATTAATAAATTAACGCCTATGGAAGTTTCCCGCTGTGAGGGAGAAGTGACTTCTTAGGAAGACCCTGCAGCATTGCATTCGTTCTCTTCTAATAAATCTCCGGGGATGGATGGCCTAACGTGTGAATTCTATCATACATTTTGAGATTGTATGGGTCCCGACTTAGTTCTGATACGTAATGCATCATATACCGCAGGTCAATTATCATTATCACAACAAACTGGTATAATTACTTTACTTTACAAAAAAGGGAAACAAACTTGTCCCCAAAAATTGGCGTCCAACAACTCTGCTTTGTACAGATTAGAAAATCATGTCTAAAGTACTCACTGGCTGCTCCGCCAAGCTCTTTCCCAGTATTGTTTCGCCAGGCCAAACATGCGGTATCCCAGGACGTTTTGCAAGGGAAGCAGTACGGATAATACAAGATAGTTTAGAATAAGACTACGCCAATTCAACGAAACTTGGTGGAGCTCAATTATCCTTAGATCGGGAAAAAGCGTTTGATCGAGTGGATTGGAAATTTCTACATAAAGTTTTGGATACCATGAATTTTGGACAATCGTTCCGGACGTAGGTTCGTTTGTTGTACACCACACTTTATTAGCGTGTATTAATTAACGGTGCCTAGGATCCTTTTTCTATTTCCTGGGAACAACGGCAGGGTCGCCCGCCTTTTCCTCTTCTTTATTTTTTTCGCAGTAGAGCCCATATGGCGTGCCATTTAAGAATCAAAAAATATTGATTGATTACCTCTGCCATCAGGAGAGTACAACAAGATCCTCTTATATGCTGACGATACTACTTGTTTTGTCATGACAGATTCTAGCTTTTTTGCATTATTAGATGTATTCCAACGATTTATTAATGCCTCTGGTGCAAAACTTAATATTGAGAAAAACCGAAGGCCTCATTTTTGGCATTTGGTTTTCCAGTAAAGTTAAACTGGTCATCAGACTCCATAATCATCCTTGAATGTCGTGTTGGTAAATCCATCCTTCAGGATTGGGAGCTATATGGCTGAGACGTCTATTGCTTTTGTCTTTACACTATTCCTTGGCCTTCCTTTCTTGCTTTTATTATTCTGCAAGTCTTTCATTAAAATGTGGCTACTTTCTTTTCACGGGCCACAGTTTAAACTTGATTTATTTCCTTTATGTAATGATATATACCAATAATATTTATGCTAACTTGAGTCTTTCAAATTTAAAAAGGAAATTAATAACAGAAAACCATACGTATTAAGTAAAGCAGTAACTTTCTAAGGACAGATAATTGATAAGAATCAACATGCTTGTACAATGCCAGGAAAGAACCGATAGGAGTGAGGAAAGAAATTTTATGGTCTCATTAAACACAGAGACCAAATATTTCATGGAGTAACTCAATGTCTAATGCAAGCTAATCAAAATAGGAAAAGATGAGGATAGAACTTTGGGCGTAAAGAGTGGGAAACTTTATTTGATCTAAAGTATATAAGAAATAATATTTGTGTCAGTATAGTAAGTGAAGAATGTTTAAAGGATGACTTCAAGTTAAACAGTTTATTTTTGTACTAACCTTTGAAGTATCAGACATTTAAATTCCATGTCTTATAGAAATTTTCAAAGACCCCTATACGGTGGTCTACCAAAATGATTGGACGACCGAACGTACTAAACATACTTCACCCCTGCATAAAATAAACCAGGAAATCATATCCTTCGTATAAAAAGGCTAGTGTGCGTACAAACATCCTCAACGATCAAACAATGACAAGTAGAAATCAGCGCCAAAAGCCAGAGCTAAAAATTGTACAGCAGGAAAGGTCCGTAAAATGTGCGAACGTCACGATCACAATTAGGGAAAAGTCTGGAGAGACGACGTTTCGCATCGTAAGAGAGAGAGGGAAAAACAGCACTATATCACTTGATTTCAATAGATAATCAGTTATATTTGTGGTTATATATATGACACTTTACGGCAGCGAAACATACCACAAAATACAGTCCGCCATATTGGTTTTTTACTACCCACAATGGCGGACATTGAAGCTTTGACGTTACGTGCAAGAACTCTATAGAGCGTCTTTAAGTATTTTGACGAGAATCATATACATAGGTTAAAGTTCAATATTCTGTCGATGCGTTATATTTGTCATCTTCTAGCAATAATTAATGAATATCACTTGACTATCGCTCTCAGTTATGAAAGGATCATAAAAATAAAAATGAATGCGTATAGTGTATGCAGAGAAAAGTAATATTTAAAAGAAAGAATAAACTAAAATTTCTGACTAATAATATTATTTTATTAGACAACTGTATAAAGATTAAAATTTAATTTGTGTATTTCGCATATAGCAAAAGTTGAAAAAGCGTGCAAAGTATAGCCTTAGGCAAAAAAATAAAGATTGATTTATTTAGGCAATCTTTTAAAACAGAATTTTGTCTTCAATTTGATGTTTTCCGCAGAGGATTTTACATATTTGAACCACACATGGTGCCTTTGTATATTATGTTTCTAGCTATTTAGCTAGATATGAAATTGATGACCCTATATAACGGAAAACACATACATACACAGTAGAAAACAGATTGACGGATTATATCAGAAATGCAATTGCAGCAGAAATATGGAAAACACATATTAAGAAGTTTTCCCGTAAAAACAGAAACGGAATTACGTACACGACCACAACGAAGAACAAAAGACTGGATTATACCAAATATCAAATGAAAGCAAAGGAATATTGCTAAGGATTTAAAGCACAAAACCTTTTTATGTTTAAACGTACTATAAATATGCAGTCATCGTTTAGATGACAGGATATCACTATTATGAATAAAGAAGAAAACATATTTGCAGTAATTAAAAAGAAAAGTTGGCCCTATCGAAAGGAGAAACTATAAATTGTAGAAAGCCAACTGAATTTGAAATATATGCTTGTGGAAAAAAATAGACCTTTACTGTTACAGTGTAGCAGAACTAAAACAATCACAAAACAAAAGCAAAAAAATTTCCAAAAAATACCTACATAAGGGGTTAAGTTGAGGAATCAGTGTCTCGTCTCCCTCACATGAAAAATGCTTTATGCACTATAC